TATTTGACCTCAGAGCAGCTTTTAACACTATTGATTTTTATTTTTTTTTTATTTTATTAGAGCCCCTGCTACAATGGTTTGGCATTGATACAGGACTCAATTCGTTTAAATCCTACTTGAAAGACAAGGACATTTTTTTATCAGTAAGTAACTTTTTAAGAACTGAAAAATCACATGTTGCGTTCCCCAAAGGTCAATCTAAAGTCCTTTTCTGTTCACAACCTACAGGCTTCCCCTATTTCAGATTATAATAAACCCCAACTTAAGTTAACATAAGTATGCAGATGACACACAGCTTTACCTTACAATTTAACCAGGTAACTACCTATAAATGTACTGGTTAAATTAATGCCACTGCAATCTATTTTTCCTATTTTTTTTTATCTACAGCCCTTTCAGTTGTCTTGTTGCTGAATCAACTGCTGCAATCAAATTTCCTGCACACTTTCCTCAAACTCTGTCAAATTTCTCAGAAAGATTTATTAAAGTAGCATTTACCAACCGAAATGATGTGTAAAATTTTGCAGATAGACAATAATGCCTTAAAATAGACCTTAAGTAAATGTTAAAAAGTTTTGAGAATGCAAAGGTCGCTGCAAAGTAAAATGTTCATATTAAAATGTCAATAACAAAGACGTTATATTGCTGAGCATTTAAGGTATATTACATTTGCATATGCACCACCATCCCTAAAGTTTAAATTTAGACATGCATGAACAAAAAATGTCTCTTTTTGTTTTCTCCAAGACTACAATGAAGAATGTTTAAGGGTAAAAGCATTTACACTTTAAATGTACAAATATACGGAAATACATAACATCCATCCATTTTCTGTCACGCTTTTCCCAAGCGGGGTCGCGAGGGGTACTGGTGCCTGTCTTCAGCTGTCTATGGGTGAGAGGCGGGGTACACCCCGGATAGTTCGCCAGTCGATTGCAGGAAATACATAAGACATTTTTTATTCAAAATATCTTAAATCGTTTTGTCTTCAGTTATGTAACAATCTTGAAATTGTTTTTGGAAGATGTCTGGTTTTAATATAAACAGGAGCAAACCTGGTCAAACCCACATATTCACTTCAGTTTTTTTACATCACAATGTGGCGTTAACATCAAAAGTCCTCTCAAGGGACTTTATTGAGATAATACTGTGATTGATTGCATCCAGTCTTTGACTTGCAAGACATGCACCTGCTGAAGGAGTTTGCGCAGACATGAAGCTTAAAGGCACTCCTCGGACTTTGTGACCTAAATATTTGACGCCTATGAGCTATTTTAAAAGATTCCTCAGGCCAATATACAGCACTTGACACTATCAATGCTAAGAGTGGGGCCCCCTTCTTGAAATATTTTCCTCTCTAACAGGAACAGTATTAATTCTCATGCATGAGCATCTCCAGCCTGCAGCTTCTCATCATTAATTAGGCTAAATCCTCTGATAGTGGCTTTTCAATATCCCCTGCGGATTTTCTACCCCCGTCCACTGTTAAAGCCAAGTTATGGCAGAATAGTCAGTGGGTTGTGCGCTGCTTCTGTTGGATGAATCAATGTCAGTTTTGTATTGTTCTTATGTATCTTTCAGTCTGTTTTGAATTCAATTAGAATTTATGCTTTGTCTCATCCATTTCAATTTTAATATAACTCATTTTCCATTTCCCCCATTGTAAAACTTTGCGACTTAACTCAAGATCGACCGTTCACCTCCTGCCCTTTAATTTAGACTTCTCTTTGGTAAAATTTAGAAACTGAAGTTAATGTGATTTATACAGCAAACATAAATTGTTTCAATATTGCCACTGACTTGAATTAAGTTATTTGAACCTACTACTTGAAGTGTAATCGGATAATAATGCTTTAGTCTAACTGCATGAAAACTGTCTTCACCTAGTTAATCAAACAAACACTGTTTAATTACTTTCTCCGCATCATTCGATAAAATAAATGAAATAGAATAAAATAAATAAAAGTTTCAAGTTACTGGAAACCCAAATTCCTGAATAAAACAGCTCTACAAAACTTCATGTTTGAGTAAACATTTGCAAAGATGACATTGAAAATCACCTTTTAGGCTTTTGCTTAGACTATTGCTAAGCAAGAGTAATCCAATCCAAGGAGGGTAATCCAAGCTGTGGTTAGATAACAGGTCCAATAGGTGGGATCCAGGTAAAAGCCCGGACACACAGAGGTCTTGGGCAGAAACGGGCAAGGGCGGATACCTGCCTAAGAGCCCGGAGACCTCTGGAGGCCTCTCTGCTGGGAACAATAGGGCTGAAAACTCAGATTCATTCCTTGGACAATCTCTTCTATGAGCTACACATTAGGAAATGTTTTGCCACTCCAACGTTTCGAACAATTTAGCATTGCCTGCTAATAACGAGATCACGTAGGTCATCTTGGCAAGATCAGAAGGAAACGCGGAAGGCTGCAGCTTAAAGTGGATCTCGCACTGGGTCAAAAAGGGGTGGATGTTCTTCCGACTCACCCCTAAATAACTATGTGCTCGACAAGCGAGGCTCTTGGCCGACCCCTCTAGCTGGCCGAAGCATGAGCGTTTTGGTCACTGATCTTTTTTTCCGCTTTAGCCCCACATCCATTCGACCCCTCCCCTACTTAAATGCTCAAGAGTTTTCTTTTTGAGTTTTCAGTTATACTTTTATTCCTGTCTAGTTTATTGGTTTCATATTCATTTGGTGGTATTGTAGTTTTTTTTTTTTTTTTATTCTTATGCATTTCTTGTTTACCCTCTGTTAGCCCTCTTTTGTCATCCTCCTTCTCCTAGCTCCCCTCTAAATTCTTCTGTCCACACCTACCCCCAATCTGCTGATTAGCCTGGCTTTTGTTTAGTCTCTCATTTATTCTTAAGACAGTTTAAGACATCCTAAGACAGCTAATTTCTCTGTTTTTCTTTTTTTATTGAAAAAAAAAAAAACACTGACTAAATTTAAGGCTTCTGAGGTATTAATGCACCAATTGTATTACCTAACAAAAGAGAAAATTGTACATATAACAAATGTCTAGACAAGGCAAAACAAATCTATACTACAACTCTGCAATCCTGCTTTAAGTTGTTGAAAATATGACAAATTTACAACAGTAGAAGGAAGTTTTGTTATAACACCCTGGATCTTAGAAAATGCTAAACAGATAAGAGAACTTAGTGAATTTATCTTCTAGACCAGGTGTTGAGACCCTCAGTTGAATTAGGATAATGATGGGGACATTCAGGAAGAATGTTTGAGGAGTAGAAGCACTCTTGGACTGCTGTTGGATTCACACTTTTTTTATACTTTCTTGAAATCTCATCTAAAGATTAAAGTACAGTATTTTATTCTTTAGAAGGTAACATTCCTGTAAACTAACTTTATCATGTCCACTGTCAGAAAAAAAAAGAAATCTTCTGAAAGGATGGAAAAAGCAGTCATAGGCACTCAAAGGCAGAGACCCCATCTGCGGAAATTCAAGTTGTGCAAGGGTCTCTGAACTCCCCCATGGGTAGCATTAACTCTACTATGGCAGATCACAGGCAGCGTATTTGCTATTTGGATGGTGATACAACTACCTCAGACACTCACATTTAATGCTTTCATGTTATTGGCTTACCACAGGTAGAGCTCATTGTCTATCCGCTTTTCTTTTTCTCAGGGTTTGTCCAAAGACTTTGGTCATGACACACTCCCCTCCCCTCCTGTGATAGACAGTGAGCATCAGACCCCTGACTTCAAGCCCCCCTCAGGATTGCTCCCTCGCCCTCTCATCCTGCACTATCCTAGTACTTCAATTTGTTCCTCTCTCTATGACATGACTGTTCCTCAAACAAATCATATTCAGTTTCTTAGTATTCCAAAGTTATACATACGTTTGTGCACAAATATGCATACTGTATGTGTAGTGGTATCTCAGCCCTTATACCTTATATTAGAAAATGTTCCCTGTTTTTTCCAGTGCATTCTATTTTCTGTGACCGGTTTTAAAGCGTTTATATCTAATAACTCAGAATGCATGCACCTTGTTCATTTAATGGACATTTTATGGCACCAAAGCACAATTAACACAGATATAGCAGCATGTCAAAATGAGAAGATGACAAAGAAGCCACAAGCAAGTATGTCTTTATTACTGCTGTGAAAAAAGTCCTATTATTTTCAAGGATAAAAAAAATACTTTGAGTCATGTTTGAAGTGATGCAGCTTGGATTTTGTTTTACTCACCCAATTTTCAATTATATATTCAGAAACTAGAATATGTTAGCTTTCAAATGATGTATCACACATGTAATTTGGGCTTACAGTTCCTTATAGTTTTTTGCTTTTCCATTTGGGATGCAAAATAGGTGAGAATTTCCCAAAATTAGGTGGCTAGAATGGGCTAAAGATATTTGTTTAAGCTAATGTCTCTCCAGATGTATACGCAGCAACAATTTGGGAGGCATGTAAGGCCTTTTTAATGGAGGCAGAGAAAAAAAAATTACTCCGTATATCTTAGAAAAACAACCACACAAGAATGTCTTGCCCTATCTATTGTTAGGCTGTCCCTTGCCCCAGACCTTAGAAAAAAGGTTGTTGATAAAAGGGGTGGAATTGGACTCTCTTACCTCTGATGCAACTGGGACATTATTATTTAAAAAAAACTGTTATTATTATGAATTTGGTGCCAAGTTCAACAACATTGTTACTTATCAAATTTAGAAGAGACCTTTAACCCAGAACATTGCTCAAGTTAATGTATCCCACTTGACATTGATAATCCATAAGCCATCAACAATAAGTTCACAGACTTCCATTGTACTTTATTCTCCTCAGAGTGTTTAACCACTTAAGCTTATCATGAAAGTTTCTTTGATAGTTTTACTAACCCTAGCACTGACCTAGAATCAGCTGCCTAATTAGATAGACCCCTAGACCAAAGTTTTTATCAGATACCTCGGGTTCTTTTTTGTCATGAAATGAAATGAGAAATGACAGTGAATATCTGTGTAAATATATTCCTTTAATATAGTTATATATGATAACATGATAAAACATTTTTTTTCTCATTTGCTTCATAATATATGTTGTTATACAGAAAAGTTGGCACTATATTTGACCAAATTATAGATACAGAATATATTTGTAATGTAAATACAATAAAAAGAGAAAGATCAACAGACAATCATGGAGGGCATTACACAGACCACTTTGGTTTGAATTACTTTGCATTGATCAAAAAGGGAGAAATATTGAGGATTGCATGAAAAGTCTTGAAACTAAACAATCCCTAAGAAATTATCTTAATGTTTACATTTAAGGATGATTATTTATGTTACTGTCACAAACTTCACCAACATATTTGGATAGGCTGGCATTCTAATTGCAAGAACTATTGTTCTATGGTATCAATAAATCAATAAATACTTAAACGTTTAAATTTATGTTTAATTTTTGGTTTCCAATCAGGACAGCATCCTTCATTCCCAGGAATCCAGCAGGGACTTTATTGCTGGCTTGAGAGAAGCCATGAGAGCAAGACCATGCAGAGTGCAGTGATGAGGCTCATATTGTGGTTTACTCCACTTGACACCTCTGTAAGTGTAATAAAGAACACAACATTATTTCAACAAACTCCACAGTGACATTATAGGTTCTAAAATATTCCTTTCTGTTGTAATAAATTTTGAATTTTGCTTACGTGTGCCATCCACAAAAATGGAACTTGTGTCAATGTTGAAATCTGTGATGTTTGAAGCTGCATTGACCAAAACCTCTGATATCTGAGTGCCATTAGGGGCTGATGCTGCTGCAAACCTGAGGTCAATGTTGTTGATGATTGACCCGTTGCTGCAAATATTTTAATATCTCAGTTAATCTGTGGCCGTTTCATTATATTTATCAGAATTTAACCGTCAACAATTCAACAAATCCTACCTAAATGAAATCACAAACAAGTTTCGGAATGAAGAAAACGATCGCCGATAGACTGGTTCAAGCTGTAGAAAAAAAAGAATAGAAGAGTTTTCTATGAATAGTTCGTGTGCATAATTCAAAGTGTAAACAATCACAGTGATTTTTCGGAGGGAAGAAAACTCGCACATAGACTGGTTGAAGCTGTAGAATGACAAAAATGGAAGTTTTCTATGAATAGTTAATTTGTTAAAGTGTAAACTGGAGTATATATATATATATTTTAAAGTGTATAATTTAATGAGTGAAACAATCTACTTAAAATCTATAATCAATCTTTTTACTTTCATTATGTTAATGAACTATTCAGTTTTTATCATTACTTCATTAACACAATTCAAAGTGTAAAAAGAAGTATGAGTAACAATTTAAATGCATAATTTAGAATTTGAAGAGTTACTTCTGAACTTTTGAAAAGTTACTGATCCTTCAAAGAAGCATGATTAAATCTTTTCAAATCGTATGCTTTTTGGCGCTTAACATCTTTTCAGTTATTATAGAAAGTTATTAAAGATAGAACTTAATGTTTGTAATTTGTCCATGATTCTTGCCCTTTGCAACAGATTCAAAAGGATGGGGCACCGTGAGGCTTCTACAGTAGCTGTTTACAGATTGAGATTAACTATTTGGATTTTGATTATGCAACACGGTTTTATTTAAAGCACAAAGGACTATACAAACTTTGATTGCCACCTTAGTAATAAACAAGTTTTACCGTCTGGTCCAGTCAGTTGTGATTTTTTGTTGACAAAATTACGTGGTTTCTTTTAAAAATATGACAGA